CGGAGCTCCTGACTCAGAGGCCGGCGCGGTGCGAGCCGTGCGAGCCAAGTCCCCACCGCAGCGCGGCTCGTCACACCTGCTCTCCGCCCGCCGGCCCGCCGCGCGCTTTCCAGTCACGCCAGCGCCCCCGCCGCCCCTTCAGCTTTTCCACACTCTCTCACACCTCTTGTCGCCGCCTCCGTTCGCGCTGCGGCCTTCTTTTCCTACGGAGAGGGCCGTGGGCTCACCGGGCCGCGTTCTCAGGCAGGTTTCTAGCCCTCACCTGTAGTCAGTCCCCTGTCCCTGCCCTTCCGGGTGGGCCGGAGCCTCGGGGACCCGGCATGGCATGGCGGGTGCACACCCACCTGCTTGTATTGGTCAGCGCGCCCGGCTTTCCCTCCCTCGGGACTCCTGGAGGATCTCTGGTAGCCAATGCTGGCTTTTCCTCTACTTAAGTTACAGGCAGCCCTTTTGGTTGTCCATACTACCCGTACTCAAGATGCAGCTTGATTATTAATAATAAACATATTCGCGGACCCGCTAAAAGTCAGAAAGAACACAAGAAACTCTTAAGGGTCTGTATAAAATGAGGAATTTGTCTCCTTTACATTTCTATGACTCTGGATTAATGTATTTGGGATCACGTTGTGGATTCAGTGATTCAGGTAAAGGCAAAACACGCAATGGTAATGCTTTTATCTGGTAACTTTTTTTTTAACTACAGCTTGGACAGACTGTAGTACAGAAATGCATTAAGCATACTAAAATAACAAAAACTGATTAGGCCTTTGGAGTTACATCCACGAGTTTGCTTTAAGTTGTGTGAGTAAACATTATTATTCTTGAATTGAACAGTGAAAACTATCTTCTGTTCTAAACAAAGCCCACACTCTATGTGGACCTCCAAAGCTTACAACCATTGTTGACTTGAACAACAGTATCACAAGCCTTTAAAAAGCCTAATAAACCATCTGTCCATCTACTTTTACACAAATTGGGAAACAGAAAACAGTGAATGCAGAAAGCTGAAAATGAGAATTCCTAACTGCAAATGAATCTTGTAAATCCTATTCCACAGAATAAAATATTGTGAAAACCCCAAAGCCTAGGAGCTACCAATTCATCAATCTGGAAGAAGAGTCATATAATTTTATAAATGAATCATCTAGTTCTTAAGATCACCTGGAGTCTAATTTTTTTCATTTTGCTGATTGAGATCTGAAGTCCAGAGAAGGTAAGTTGCCTAACCAATATACCCAGCTTAATTGGAACAAAGTCAGGATTCATACTCGGACCTGTATATAAAGCTACTCAACATCAGAATTCTTTGACATCTCGGCTCTGCCTCAGTACACATGATCTGTGAATCTGAGCTTAGGTATTGATGTCAGAAGCCATTTCACCCCAATATGTTCAAGGATTTCTGTTGTGTAACCTGCATCTCTCAGTCGGGGATCATCTGCATGATCTCAGTCACTTCTGGCCCTGGCTCTGGAACTCTGATCCAACCAAACACATTCATCCTCAGAGGTGCCAAAGGCTGTGCCTGATTAAAAGAGTTATGAAATCTCTATTGTCAAGAAAATTACAACATTATTGGTGAGGTAAAATATGAGGCATGAAATGATAATTCAACAGTAATAATCAAGGACTCAACAGTAATTTCCAAATGTTAAGTAGGAAAATGGTGCACATAAATTAAGGAAAGACTTCTTAAAGGCCACAACAACAAAAAGGAGATCTATCATTTGGAGCTCTGTGCATAGGAGAGAAGTAAAGCAAAATGCTTGGACAGAAGCTCTAAGAAGAAAACAGGCATGCCAAGAATAAGGAAAAGTTAGATCAGGGAAGCAAAACAGGAAATCTGAGAAGCAAGAGCAAGCTAGGACCAAATGCAGGCTAGAACCATTGGTAGAGGACCTAGATTTCAACCTGAGACAGAGTTTCCTAGGAAATCATTGTGGGTGGACTGGGCAGGGGAGAAAGGAGGGTGGGGAAAGAGGTAAAAAGATCAGAAGGCCATAACTTTGTTAGGTATATTGGACATCGGTGCCACTTAGGAAAACTTGGGTTTGGTGAGTATACATAGGAAACAATGAAAAAGTAAGAAGTCCAAGGTAATTTTATGATTGTGGCATGAGTCATTAAGAGTCACATGTGCCCCAGGTCCTTAACAACACTCATAGGAGCAGCCTGCAAATTGCTGGATAAGAAAGCAAGATATCTTGCCAAGGGAGATCCTCCACATCATATTCTCTTTCCACAAAACTGTAGTTTGATACTCAGAAGATAAAGAGCCCTAACCCAGGCCCTGACCATAAACCCTATCCTGATACTTTTATGGTCAACTTATTTCTATTTCAGCCATATTGATGTAAATGTTCTTTATGGTGAAGAATATGTTACAATAGGAAATAAATAATAAGTGGTTATTAAATATACATAAAATGTTGCTAAGACAAAAAGAATATAGAAATGCCTATACCTTTCAGAAATATCTTATAATCTACTTGGAGAAAAAGAGGCCAATACACCCAACATAGGAAATATAATCCATGGACAGGGAAAGCAACATTGTGCACAGCAAAATGAAATAATATAGAAATTGTTAGGGATATAGCCGAATAAGCTGGAAAAGATCTGGTCTTTAGTCATCATTCAACAGATTTTAGTGAACTTTGCACAGTGTTTTAGATACTAAAGACAAAGCAATGAAACAAACAGTCCCTGTTCTCACTGAGACCCAAAAGGAGTCATGTGTTGAAGACTATATGAAATGCCGAGGACATCTAGAATGTAAGAAACTGGGGAAAGAGTGAAGGAATGAAGCAGGGGAGATAATAAAGCCGTACGAATAGAAGGACTTTTGAGGTCAAGTTAAAGGAAGGCCATTGGGAGATTAGTCCCTCTGGCATTCTGAATTTGAAGGAGAGATGGAACCTGGAAAAGCAGATGCAAGCCTGCATGATAACACGGGCAGGAGATAAGTAGACAAGGTTGCTGGCAAGGTTAGCAAAGAAGATGGAAATGCCAAGACTAAATAGTGGGTAGGTGGTGTTGGTCATAGAAAATCTATAGCATCACATGCAGCAGAAAGGTCGAAGAGATAAGCATTAAGAAAAGGCCAATCTGGTTAACAACAAAGGTGTGTGACGTTAAAGAGAAATGTCTCTGAAGGCAATGAATGCTCACTGAAATAACCAGCATAATTCAAAATGTACAAAGCATATATGAATTTTATTTACCTTTAAAGCTATTGTATTTATGGACACTATTGAATTTTTAGACCCATTTAAGTTTTCTTATCTGTGTCTAATTTTTGTGTCCATATTAAAGGAAAAATAAATATCTTCAAAATTTATCTGATTTACTTTTATGGACCAAAACTCAGTCACATAAATGACTCACAGAAAGTTCACGCTTCTCTTGGAATATGGCAGTAACCTAACAGCTTCATTACCTGCTATGCCTCAACCAGGTAGCCAGTAAGCATGATGGCCTTGGACACATCACATGTTCTCACTGAACTCTAGGTTTGCACTAGTGAAAAAGAGAAAACTCATATCTGCAGTGTAGAAGCAGAAGGAAGCCTTTCTATGAAGAAAAAAACAAAAGCGTCTTGTGAAGTGTGCAGGAACAGCCACCATGACCTCAAGTGGTACTTTTGCCATCTGGAAGAGGACAGCTCAGTCGAACCAGATGCTCTTTTGTTTATCACACTGCAAGACAATTAAGGAGTATTTTTTTCTTCCCTGGAAATAGATTAGAAAATTTGGCAGGCAAAGTAGAGGGAGAAACCTGAAGCCATCGATTTGAAGTGATGTAGCCTTGAGCTTCCAAGGATAAGAAAACCAGACTTTGGCCAAATTTGTGTCCATACATGTATGTGCATGCCTTCTCCTGATTGTATTATGTTGGTGAATAGGATATGTTAATTTGTTAGGTGTTATTGAAAGATGGAATGCTATTATCACTCTCTCTTAGTTGGAATATACTTCGTGTGGGGGTCTGCTGGGAGCACCTAATCTCTTGTGGTGATTTGGAAAGCTGCATTAAATTCATTGAACGAAAAATATGTGAAAACTATTCTAAAAATAATCATGAAATTTACTATGTTTAATTTGCTGGTCTAAAAGCTCCTCAAGTCAGTAGTGACCACAGATTCCTAGCATTAATGAACAATTACCATATTGCTGAAATTAACACCATATTTAGCCTTAGAAGTCTTCTTGTTATTGGTGCTGAGATGGGCCAAAAATACCAGTAGCCTAGGAAGCATAAAATATATTCTTTGTTGATGAACTCTGTTTAGTTGAGATTTAGCTATTCCACACTGTAATACAAGAGAATAGGTTTATCGTTGTTACCTTCTGGCCTAGAGTTAGAAGCATTTCATACTGTGGTTCATCCTGTGCCTTTTATCAAGGATAAATGTCATGTTTTTCCTTAAAAAAAAAAAAGAAGGCTTACATAGTCTCACCTCATGCCTAGCCTTTCCAGTAATTATCTGTTGCTTGGAATCAGTGTCAGCCAACTAAGTTCAGATGGGGGAAATGTTTGATCTGCAGTGGTGTGATTTGGAAGACTGTGTACATAGAAGGTACAGCTATGCACATACAGAGAACATATTGATCTAATTTGACTGCCAGTGATTTAATTAATGTTTTTCAAGCACTTTGAACATGAAAAGCACTATCTGAAAGCTGAGAGCTATTACTCATAATCATTTTTCCTAGAATTAACGTACAAATGTGATATTCTTATGGTATCTTTGAGAGACAGGCTCTGTTTTAATAAATTCTTTGGACCAGGCTTTAGGAAACTCTCATTAAAACTTCAAGACTGTAGTTTCTGAAAGTCAAGCTTCAAGCTGGTTGGGTATCATCCATCAGTAGATTCTGAAGCACACATGCTAAATAAACAACAGTGACAGCTTGGGGAAGTATACACACCTGTTTATTCAGAAGATGCTAACAAGGGCAAGCTTAAAATAAGAACACACACCACAACCTGATTTTCAAGCTTTTGTACATACACACAACCTAAAATTACCCATATTATCATCTAGGTTTTTTTTTCCTTCTAACTTTTTTCCCTTTAAGAAATAACTACTAATGAGCATGATACCTTCATGATGATCTAAAAAGAAGGAAAAAGTGGAGATGTTTCTTAAGGCTTTGACAAGTAAACATGATATTTTCAATTATTACTTTTTCTTCAAGTCAAGTATAAGGACAATTGGCAAAAGATGAAGAAATTTTGAGCTGAAAAAGAAATAACTTTGAAGAAGGACTTTTGACTAACACATAGCAGTTTTAGCAGTATTCTATCCGTGCTTACAAAGCAATGACAGGACATTTGTTCAACTTGCTGGTACCGTGGGACAGAATGTACTTTCCTATAGATTAGAAAAGGAGACTCAAAAAGATAGAGACTTGTACGAAAATTAAGGATATATGGAAAACCACTACTTTGGGTACATAGTGTGCTTCCCACAGAAGACATGAGTTAGTAAAAGAAAATCTCAGAGCTAAGCAATAGATAAATTCCTGTTATTGTTCAAAAGCCACAAAACAACATTGGCTATTACTTTTGCTCTTGGTTATCACAATAACAAATTGGTAACTATTGCTGAAGATACAACATACTTTGGTTACAGGGCATAGAGGAACCAAGCTGCAACTGACCTGAAAACTTCCTCTCTTCTGGCTAGCTATCATGGTGCTAGAAGATACTTTGCAGGCTAATAGGGGAGAAAGGTATTACCCACCAGTTAACTCTGAATGCTACAATGCCAGGTAAGATGTGTCAACTGATATAATAGTAGCAAGAAGGAATGGTTGTAATGAACTGCTTTCTGATTGGATTTGAGGCCTGTTCCACAAGAAGGAATTTATGCCTGATAATATAAACTTGCTCATAAGCCCTAGGCAGGAACCTACTCCTGTTATTTTGCTACATACATATGTTGTCAAATTCCCTTATAAATATTTCTGTTTGTATACGTAGATTACTGTTGTTCTCAGTCTTGACCACAGAAGCTTCTTTCTTTAGTAGTCACAGTTAAATACTGAGACTCATAACTGGTCAGAGTGCTAATAATAAGTGACTATTGAGTGTTCAGTGTTAAACAGAACATTTGTATCATCCTCCCTAAGGCTTGGGGAGCATCCCAGAAGAGGAGGTGGAAAGAATCAAAAGGCTGGTGGATGGGAAGAGTGCTTGCTGGGAGACACTTCTGTATATGGCACGGCTGTTGTACTCATGAACTTACTGTAGCCATTGTTACCTACACAAGACCTGGACACAATCTCTTCATACCACCAGGCAGTGCTAATCAGTCTTGATTGGTTGTGCACACATAGAAAAGAGAAGACATGAGGGTATAAGGGGGACATGTTAGGACTATTTAAGAGGAATTGGAGGGAGAGGGGAGAGTTAGGGTGGATATGATTAAGATACACTGTATACATGTATCCAGTTGACAAAGAATAAATAAAAGACATCTTAAAATAAGTTCTGACTTTCCTTTGTGACCACCAGTGAGATACAGCCTTAGAAACTCTGACTTGCTTTTGAATTTTAGCTTCTTTTCATTTATATTCCACACACCTAAACAGAACTTTTGCTTGTATTTCAATGTAGAATTTTCTTCTATGTGTATTGCACAACATGCATATTCTGAATAAAGCACCCATTCCTACAAAACGGATTTTTATTTATTGAATTAATATCTTAAATTTAATCTTGGATAATTTCATACATGTATACAGTGAATTTCAACTATATTCATCTCCACTCCTTCCCTCTAAATTCTCCTGGATTCTCTCATATCTCTTTCAACTTCCTATCATCTTCTTATATAGCCTACTGAGTCCAATTAGTGCTACCCATATATAGATTGTGTGGAGCTACCCACTGGAACTTGGTCAACTTAACAGGGATTACACCCCTAAAAAGAACTGACTACTCTCCCTCCCCTAATAGCCATTGACTGTCAAGAGAACCTCAGTGAGGGGTGGGGCCCATGTGCCTCTTGCGCTTTGTGCTGGAATGCTAGCTCTCTTCATCTTGTGCTGGTCTTATGCAGACAGTACCGCTACTGTGAGTTCAGACCACGATGAGCCTGTCATGTCCAGAAGACACTGCTTGGTGTCAGTCCTCCCCAAACTCTGCCCTTTACAATGTTCCTGCTCCCCTTTCCATGTCATTCTTAGCACATATCTTACTGGTAGCAAGCCGATGTGATGGAGAAAGTAGTTAGACCCTCAAGAGACTTCTTGTGAATAAGAATTAAATCTTTAAATGTTTTAGAGCTGAGAAGTCTGGTAGCATTAGCTACATAGTAGTGTATACTCCAAAAACCATCACTCTACTTAGATCTATCCTCTCTCACAATGGAAACAGTTTGTGGCTTCTTTTTTATTGTTTCAGACAGGGTCTCACTGTGTAGCCCCAGCTGACCTGGAACTAACTATGTAGACCAGGTGGGCCTCCAACTCACAGACATCCACTAGCCAAATCCTTGGGAAGCAAGTATTGGGATTAAAAGTGTGTACTTTCATGCCTGGTAAAACACACAAATAAAAACAGTTTGCAGTACTAGAGTTTAGACAGAAGGCAAAGTGTAATGGAAAAAGCAATATGCCCTTTATTAGGTAGGTCACAGGTATAAATAGATAAAGAATTACATTATACATTGTGTGCGAGGAAAGAAATGTTTTTTTTTTTTTTTATTGTTTCTTTTGGTGTAGGATATGGCTTACATTCCACCACCATACCTTCTCCACTTAAAGAATTAGTGAGATTTTGCTGGGCATGGTGGAACATGCTTTTAATCCAAGTACTTGGGAGGCGGAGACAGGCAGATCTCTGTGAATTCGAGGCCAGCCTGGTTTGCCTACATAGGGAGTTGCAGGACAGCCTGGGCTACATAGTGAGTTTCTGTCTAGGTAGCAAACACACAAATGAAACAAAAACAAAAACAAAACAAAACAAAAGGAATTAGTGAAATCTTAAGCTTGCTCTATGGGAGTCAGGGGGTATTTGTCTTTCCTGTGCCCGGATCTTTTATATTCCACCATTATTAACAAACAATCTTCTGTTTTCTCAGATGGGTGCGGTACCCAAATCTAATGCCAGTCCAAAGCAGTATGATAGCTGACTTGCTTTCACTGCACTGCGTATGTGCTTACGTATACCAACTAAATTTCTATGGCATTCACCACTTACATTCCTAAAACACTAGTACATAGACTGTGCAATGCTAACAGCAAGGAATTCCCCACGTTGTGTGCTTAAAGCTTAGCCCCCACACACCTGGGCCCAGGACCTGCATGGGAAGGATGAATCACACAGCAGCTTTGGTGGAAGGAATGAGTGATCGAAGGCAAATGCTCGCAGAGGCTGAACACTTAGCAGAAGCCACTGATTTATATTATTTGCTGATCTACCCTGAAGCATTCTCTCTGACAGCCAAAGGCCAACTTTTCCTATTGAAGCAGTTTGAAAGTTACATATGTACAGAAGGCAAGGGCAGGGAAAAATGTTCCTTTCAAGGGTTCCGAAGCACTGCAGACTCTTTTACCGCTAACTATGCCTGTAATAACCAATTTTATAGCTGACTCCAATTTCTTTTGAAATAGAAAGAAATAAAACATGAGCTAGCTCCAGTTTTCTTTTCCCATAAGTAGAGTAGTTAATAGCATTTCTTATTTTAACACATTACTTTTGCCTTAATTCACAGACTAAAAAGGAAACAAAATTATGTAATGTTTTCTTTATCCTGTTCCTTTTTTCAATTAATCACTGAAAAAAAAATTCCACAAATACTTCTAGGGTCAAACAGAAGGGCTGCATGAAGGGGACACATTGAAATACCTTTTCAGTTCTGCTCAGTATTGATTTGCCAATTTTGAAGTTGGGTCCCATTGCTTTGGTTCATATAGAAAAAGTTACAATTTAAGAAAACATTACAAAATGGGAAGCTGATCCTGATGCTATCAACCTTCCCTCTTTTCTGTTAGCAGAATGCTGCAGGAAAGGCAGATCTGTGTCACCTATCACCAAAACTGTTCAAGATCCAATTGCTTTTGAAGTTAACTTTGTAAAACTATCTAGCAGCCTTTAACCAACCATATGATGCATTTCCCTCTGAATAGTTAGTACCTGCATTTGTCTCTGCATATTGAAATAGTAAGACCATGTCAAATAGTTTAATCAAATGATGCCATAACTAAGGTTATGTTATAATGGGCGTTGGTACAAACTCAAGTATCAGTATTCTTGGGTTGTTAGCCAGAACACCGAACACCATTTTTTGTCCAGACTGCCACTAGATGATTTTGTAATTAGAAGAATCACTCTAAAATGAAAAGTCTGTGGTTGATGAGGCAGAACCAGCTATGCTTAAAAGGGAAATTCTTATTAGTCCAAAATATTAGAGGACAAACAAAATCAATTTTTACAGGAAGATTAACCAAATTGTTCATTATCGTAGTAAACACTAGCAAAACAAAAATCAAAAGTATGGACTGTATCATAGACAATATTAGCCATACCCAAGCAAGAGATTGAAATACCAAAGTCTAATTTGTGTACAATTGTTCACAAAAACATTCTCATAGCTTGCATAGTAACTCATTTTGTTCTTTTTAACCTTTGTTCTTTAGGATTGGCTACTATTAGAAAGTAGAAAAAAATTTAAAAAATGGGATTTTACCAAGACAACTTTGATGTTTTAAAAAAAAATACTTGACCATCCAAGGTAAAAGGCAAAACTGCTAGTGACATGTAAGCAAGTACTTTACACCTTTAGGTTTGGATATTTGAAACGAATGTTGCTTTTTCATGGGTACTTAGTAAGACATATTTGAGGACATATCATCTTAGTCATTACAAAGATTAAGCACAAAAGTCAAGTTACTTAAGGTGCTGGAGAGATAACGCAGCAGTTAGGAGCACTTCCTGTTCTTGTAGAGGTATTGCCAGCACCTACATAGAGGATGCCAGCTTGCCATCCGTAGCTCCAACTCCAGAGAATTCTAAACAAATATAAGAGCGGCACTAAGTGAACTCAGTGGCGTGTGCACATGCAGGGATGTATAACAACAATAATTATAGAAAAAAGATCATGAACTTGAGAGCTGGCATGTGTGAAGAGCTAGAGAGAGGGAGGCACGACAATGATGTGTATGTTGTACTTATATAAGAAATTATCTAAATATTAAGTAAAAATTGTTGCTATTATCAGATCCCTTTTCACCGTGCACTTTGTCAGGTCCATGTTCCATGATTCTGTAATAGCCAAGCCGTGAGGCTGATGGGCTCTATGCATGTGATACCACTCTGCTGTCTTTTTTGAGCTACAGAAGGATTTTTAAAATTTGCTCTAATTTTCAACTCTCCATTTCCTTCTGGGATCCCACCTTTTCCATTTATCAACTTTCTTTCTAGGTCATTATTTTAATAAATAATCTGAATTTCAAAACCTTAATCATTTCCCCTGTCCTTTCTGCCAGAGGAACTAATTTACATACAAACACACACATATACATTCACACAGGATTCATAGAGCACATCATTTTGGTTGTTTGTTTTTCTTTTTAGACAGGGTATCACCATGTGATTTACTCATGCTGGTCCAGAACTTGGGATCCTTCTTGAGGATCCTTGGGATCCTCAGCCTCCTAAGTGCTCAGATTATAAGCATTTTCCATCATGCTCAGCTTCATACTATATATTTCCATACCAGTTTTGTCAGTGCCTAATGTGTTACTAAGAAGACTTACAATAAATACTTGAAATTAATTGGGCTTTAAGAACTTTCATCTCATGTGAGCTTCCAGAGGAGGTCTATGGTAGTTTAAATGAAAATGCCCCCGATAGGCTCATAGAGACTCCTCTTGGAGTCCCTACGCACCCTACTGGAGAGAGGCCTTGGCTCCAATTTGCTCATTTACCAATAAGCTCAACAAGATGGCCTGGATTTTGTCTCATATTCTTCAGTGCCAAATGGGTCAACAGCAAACACTAGTTGAATATATGCACCACCCCCCATCAAGTTCTCTGGTCTATCTTACTATCAGGGTGGGGACAAAGTTATCTTAGGGGCCACGGAAATAGGATAAGACTTATACTCGAATGGCAGCCCTTCATTTGTTTAGTTCTATCTATCCCTTAAATAGTCTTAAAGTGAAAACAAGATACATCTAAGAAAACAAGCGAATATTAGTATAGATTATATTCTATTTACAACAAAGCAACAAATGCAGAAGTCACTGGAGAGGTTGTTCTCCACTGTGCTTGCTCATGTTTTCCATTCTTCTTTGATTTTCAAGTAGTTTTTCTTCTGCACATGCTCATGTTCTGTTTTGATATGCTTTGGTTTATTTCAGCATTTGAGACAGGGTCTTGCTGTATGACCAGACTGACCCAGATTTCACAGTGCTCCTGTCTCAGTCTCCCAAGTGTTGGAATTCAGTCTTATCCCAACATACCTGGCTCCACATGCTTGTTAACTGACCTCAATTAGTTAGCATACCCAAGGGGCATCCGCCATTCATTTTCAGTAGGTGTTCATTACCAAATGTTTAGGGTTTCATTATTTCTCTACTTGAAAAAGACAATAACCTTCTAAATTGTTGATTTATAATACTTGGACCATTAGCTTGTGACTTACCTTGAGAAATCTTCCCTGTGCATATATT